CTGGTGCTCAGGTGGGGCCTGGCTGGTTTGCCCTGAAGGATGTCCTGGGCCTCAATCTGGAAGCTGAGGCAACTACCCTATTGTTTAGGCAAGTAAGCGAATGCCGCAGCCAGAATAGCAGGTTGAAATTCAAACAGCAGTTTTTACCCACTATGGTTGCTACCATACTTCATTGGAGACCTGATTTGTAGATGATCTGACCGCCTCTGCGCACATCCCACTCCGTGATGGCTGTGTTTCACCTGCTGACGTGAATTTGGCTGGGTGAGCGCTCTCGTGGCTGCAGGTGGTTTGGTTGCACGTGGGAGGCACTCCCTGCCTTACACTTGTTGTTTTCAGACTGTGCAATGGGATAAGTATGTTATTTCAGGAATCAGATGGCCCCCGTCCGATGGCCCAGTCCGAGGCTCCGTCTCATTATGCAAATTAGCTCAAGGGAAACTGGTGATATTTCTTTCCCTACATAATAACCGATTGTTTAGATTCTTTTCTGAAAAATCTTATAGAGGAAGGCTAATCGGATAAACAGGGAAATTTTATAAAGCAAAAGTTGGGCTCAGCATCTTAAAAGATTACAAAACAAACTGAAATATAAATCATAATGAAAATATAAGAGAATATATGACGCTGCTCCTCTGTCCCACGGGCCTCGGCCTCGCCTGGTGGTTTTACTCAGAGGGACTGCCCTTGCCGCCAGCACATGTGTCACAGGGCACGCCTGTCAGGAAGCGGGCAGGTAGGATGGAAGCTGTGCCCTGTGCACGGCCTGAGCTGCCTCTTCAGCGCCGGCGGCAGTGAGCACACCGTGCCCTACTTCACACCATGCCCTGTGCCCACAGCGTGCCCCCTGCGTGGTGGCTGAGTGACCACGGAGGCTCCGGTCTGGGGAGAGGTGCCCGGGACTCCACATCCCTCCACCTTGTCTCTGCTCTGCACACTGGGGGACCCTCCTGGGGGCCCAGGGCCACGTCCTCGGCGTGTGTCTCCCACAGTCCCTGGCACACGCCTGGCTCAGGGCACAGGCGACATTGCTGTGGATGTCCCTCCCGCCGCGTCCTCTGAGGGTGGCCTTCTCCCCACTGCAGCCGAGCACTCACCGACAGAGCGGGGACGGCTGGATTCCATCAGTCAGGGACAGCGAAGGGCCTGTCAGAGGGAGCAGTGGGCGTTTTCCTCTTCCGCTTGCCTTTGCTCGTGGACACTGTGTCTGAAACTGTGATTTTTTCAGGAACATTCCACAGGGAAGTGAAGGTCCCTGATAAATGCCAAAAGAAAAAACAAAACTAAACTAAAACAACTTAAACTGTTTTAAACTCATTCGTGGGACTTACTTTGATCTCCATTCGCAGGTTTTAGGGCACAAACCAAAGCAAATGCTGGGAAGGCACATGGTGAGGGAAGAGGGTGCATTAGCCACCTGTGACCTCACATGCTACCCCTTCGTTTTCATAACTGCCATTCTGGCTGGGGCTCCAAACTGGATGTGGGTGCCTTGGGTGCGTGTGTGTGTGTGTGTGTGTGTGTGTGTGTGTCTTGTCCTTGTATCCTCTATGTTTCCTATTGTTTATTTTTCTTCTATTTTTCCCATATATTCTCTTATTTTTTCATTATGATTTATATTTCAGTTTGTTTTGTAATCTTTTAAGATGCTGAGCCCAACTTTTGCTTTATAAAATTTCCCTGTTTATCCGATTAGCCTTCCTCTATAAGATTTTTCAGAAAAGAATCTAAACAATCGGTTATTATGTAGGGAAAGAAATATCACCAGTTTCCCTTGAGCTAATTTGCATAATGACAGCCTTCCACTTCACCACATTCCTTTTCTCCAGGACAACAAAGGACAGCCTTTCATGGCTCTCCTCTCCATTGTTCTCCGAATTCCCATCAGTGTTTCCATTCCTTTCCCTGTGGGTGCAGGGAGGCTGCTGTGTAGGACCACAGTGGCTGTCCCTGGAGTCAGTCCTCAGGCTGCGCTGTGGGCCATGCTGTGAGTGGCCAGCCCCTGCCCAGAGGTTCTGTCCCCTCAGCATTCCTGCCACAGTGTGAGCTGGCCGTGCTCTGTCCCGAGCAGGGTGCTGGCTGCCCTGGTGCCTGCAACATTCGGACAGCGGGATGTTTTCGGGGTCCTGTGACTGTTAATCGCTGTGGTGGGTCAGTGCTGTGGCTGGTCATCGCCGTGTCTGGTCATCACCGTGGCTGGTCAGCACCGTGGCTGGTCAGTACCATGGTTGGTGAGTCCTGTGCTCACCTCATTGGCTGGTCAGTGCCATGGCTCGTCATCTCCGTGGATGGTCATCTCTGTGGCTGGTTCAACACGGTGGCTGATCATTTCCATGGCTGGTCAGTGTCGTGGTTGGTGAGTCCTGTGGCTCGTCAGTGCTGTGGCTCCACAGATCTTCTGTGTCCAGGTCCTGCCACCTCTCCTCATGCTCCAGCCTCAGGCTCACTGCTGCCTGGAGTGGCCCAGGCCTCACCTCCATTGAAGGCTGAGCAGGCACAGGAGGCCTTCCTAGGATACACTGTGACTGCTCTTGGCTCAGAGCCCTCGGCCATGTCACCTGCTCCCTCAACCTGTGGCTAGGAAGGGAATGGCTCCCCATCTGTCTGCATGTTCAAATCCCCTGGGACCCTGCAGAAATCCAAAGCCCAGGCCACACCAGAGCTACAGACTCAGATTGCTGGGAGTTTGGGGGGCAGTCACAGACTCAGCACAATGGGAGCCCCAGGGGCCCCTGTGCGGGCAGGTTCGGGCCAGGCTGGCCCTGACCAGCACTCCCTGTCTTGGCTGCAGGAAGTCCCTCTCCCACAGCCACTGACCAGGCGGAGGACGTGAGCACCCACCCATCAGGGGCCTGCCAGCAGGGACCCCAGAGAGGAGGGCAGGGTGGGAGGGAGCAACCAGGTCACTGCGGATGTTGGCCCTGGAGTGAGTGCATCTTGTTTAGAGTCTGCCCTCCCTCCCTGCCCGATCCCGTGACCTTGTCATGTTTTAAATTCACTGTCTCCGCCTACAGAGGGACAGCAGCCGTACCAGCAGGCATCCCTACTAGAGGAGCCAAGGAAAAGGGTCTCAGAGTCCCCGCCCTCGGCCCCAGCAGGAGGCGGGGCAGGAGCCTGGCACCCAGGTCGGGGAGAGCTGGCACTGCGGGACACGAGGCCCGGAGGCCCTCACTGCAGTGCCAGAGGTCGGGGGGGGGGGGGGGGGGGGCGGGGCAGGCCAGCTCATGCCTCGGGCCCAGGACGCATCGTGGGGCCAGCACCCGCCTCCGCCCAGGCTCAGCCGCTTCCGTGAGGCTCCTGGTGGGCCCGGCATCGGTATTTTTATGAAGATCCCGGTGAGGGTGACTGAAGGCCGAGTGGGCCTGGAGGCCCCGGGGCTGGAGTCCTGAGGGAAGGAGAGGACGGCAATCTGGCTGTTTCCGTGGCTGTTTCCGTGGCTCTTCCAGATGAGCCCATTTGGGCCAGAAAAATGGGCTGAGCTGGTTTGGGTGATTCTTTACTCGCTTTATGCCAGACACGCTCTCTTCCGACCTTGCACAGCGATGGGAGTTTCCGCTCACTCCACTCACGCACATTGCTCTGGACACGGAGAGGGTCAGATGTCCCATCTCTCACACCTGCGCAGCGCTTTAACCTGGCAGTGCATTCTGCTCCTGGCTCATCGTTACCCTCCTGTACGTGAGCTGTTCAATTCCTTTCCCAAGGTGTGTGTTTCCTGTTAGCCAGACGCAAACCAATCACACGGTGTGTCCTGGTAGCCACTAGCCAGACGCAAACTAATCACACGGTGTGTCCTGGTGGCCGTTAGCCAGACACAAACCAATCACACGGTGCATCCCGGTGGCCATTAGCCAGATTCAAACCAATCACACGGTGCATCCTGGTGGCCCATTAGCCAGACGCAAACCAACACGTGGTGTGTGTGGAGGCACTCGGCCTGTCCTCGCCTCCGCTGGCTCCCTGGGAGGGTAACTTTTGGCGCGTTGTTTGCTGGGTCATGAGTGTGCTCTGTTGTGTGTTGCATGGTTACACCGGCCACAAACATAAGACGATAGAAGCCCATTAAAGCCACAAACAGCTGTGAGAGGCGTCCCCAGGCATCCTTGCTGAGAGCCATGCCTTCGATGGCGTGCTGCTGCTGCCTCGTGCTTTTCCGGGAGCCTTCAGAGGTGTGGCACCGGCCTGGGCCTGCAGCCATGTCCCGTAGCCTTGTCCCGGCCCGTGGGCCCCACTCGAACCCGTGCTGAATCCACCAGTAACTCGGCGTGAGTGGGATGGTTTATGGAACTGGGTGTCACCGTTTGGTTACAGGCCGGTCTCCCTCGGAGACCAGCGGCTCCTGGGAACGTGGGAGGACCTGGGACCGTCAGTGTGGCCTCCGTCGCCGTGCACCGGGGTCAGGGCTGGGCTCAGGGTCACCACAGGTCACTGTCCCGCTCTCCTGGTCCCCAGGGACCTGTCACGTGAGGTCCTGAGTGAGGGGCACATGCTGGCCTGAGTGAACAGGTGACCCGCCTGCTGGGGACACGTCTGAGTGACCCAGGGCTGGCTGGGGCAGGGCGGGACTCAGTTCTGGGGCTCACAGCCGGGGGGTCACGGCGGGGCAGTCCCCACAGCAGGATGGCCCTCGCAGCCCCACGCCTTTTCAGCTCCGTCACTGTGGCTCTGGCGGATCCTAGGAAGGTCACAGGGTGCCCACTTCCCGGTCCTGCCCCGAGGACGGCCCTGGGGCCATAGAGGCCCAGGCCGCTGGCTGAGGGGGAGATGCCCTGGCTGAGGGGGAGATGTGCTCAGGAGGCAGCTGTGCCCGGTGCGGCCTCCGGTGACCAGCAGGCAGCAATGTGGTGCCGGACGCCGGGCCAGGCTTACAGGCTGCCCAGCAGACGTGAGGGTGCTGTTTCCCAGAAGTGACAGCCAATAGAGGGCCTCGGAACTTGCTGCAGCACCTCCCCCGCCCCCCAGGGGGTGCTGGCCTGGGACTCATGGCTCTGCCCCCGCAGGAGAAGCCCTACAAGTGCTCAGACTGCAGCAAGGCCTTCAGTCAGAAGCGCGGGCTGGATGAGCACCGGAGGACGCACACCGGGGAGAAGCCCTTCCAGTGCGACGTGAGTCCCCTCCTTCCATCCCGGTCCTCCACGTGTCTACGCCTGAGTGGTTGCACGCCTGAGTGTGTGTGCACACTTGAGCGTGTGAGCATGTCTGTATGGGTGTACACATCTTTGTGTGTGCACGAGTATGCCTGAGCACATGTGCCTGTGTGTCTGAGTGCATGTATATGCATAAGAGGGCATGTGTGTCTGTGGGCATGTGTGTCTGAGAACATGTGTATGCATGAGTGGGCACGTGTGTCAATGCATCCGTGTGTCTATGACCATGTATGTGTGTCTGGGTGCATGTGTGTGTATGAATGCACGTGTCTGAGTACACATGTATGCATGAGTGGACATGGATGTCTGAGAACATGTGTGTGTGAGTGGGCATGTGTGTGAATGGGTGGGCATGCATGTCTGAGAACATGTGTATGCATGAGTGGGCATGTATGTCTGAGTACATGTGTCTGAGTAGGTGTGTGTACATGTGTGGGAGTACATGTGTATGCATGAGTGGGCATATGCATCTGAGAACATATGTATGTCTGAGTAGGCATGCATATCTGAGTACATGTGTGTGCATGAGTGGGCATGTGTGCCTGAGTACATGTGTGGGCATGAGTGGGCATGTGTGTCTGAGTACATGTGTATGCATGAGTGTGCCTCTTATGCTTTTAGACCCAAAGCCTTTCATTTAAGAGGTTTAGTAGGGCCGAAACCGGTGTGGCTCAGTGGTAGAGCGTCAGTCTGTGGACTGAAAGGTCCTGGGTTCTATTCCGGTCAAGGGCATGTACCTTGGTTGCGGGCACATCCCCGGTAGGGGTTGTGCAAGAGGCAGCTGGTCGATGTTTCCCTCTCATTGATGTTTTTAGCTCTCTCTCTCTCCCTTCCTCTCTGTAAAAAAAATAAATAAAAAATATTAAAAAAGAAAGAAAGAAAGAGGTTTAGTAGGAAATGGTTGCTATGTCCATTCTGGCCGGAAAGGTGTTGCTTGTGGTTGTTCCTTTGAGACGTGTGGATGGAGCAGCTGTGGGCAAGGAGGGAGGTCAGCGTGCAGAGCCCACACGTGAAGTGCGGGGACTCTGGGAACTGGGTTTATTTCACTCCCCTTTGCGGGCCGTTCCCTCCAGGAGCAGCATGGCCTGGGGTGCATGTGGGCCCGTGTCCCTCCTGGCGCAGGCGGCCTGTGTGCCTGTGTGATTTCTGAATGGGCCATCAGCCCTGTGCTCTCTCCTAGGTGTGCGACCTGGCCTTCAGCCTCAAGAAGATGCTGATCCGACACAAGATGACGCACAACCCCAACCGCCCGCTGGTGGAGTGCCAGTTCTGCCACAAGAAGTTCACGCGGAACGACTACCTCAAGGTGCACATGGACAACATCCACGGCGAGGCCAACAGCTGAGGGACCTGCGGGGCGGGGGGTGGGGGCCTGGGGAGCCCGGCTCCCTCCCCGTCGGCGTGGCAGAGGCAGCCCTCGGCACGCACTGGCCTCATGGTCCTCTTTGCTGACGTTTAGAGTCTGTAGACACACGTCCCGTCCTACCAAGAACGGTGCGAATGGAAAAGACAGCCTCGTAGCCTTACACAACAGCCTGTGCTTGTGCCTGTGCCTGTGCCTGTGCCTGTGCCTGTGCCTGTGCCTGTGATCTGTGCCTGTGAGCGTGGAAGGGGAGTCTCCGCCCTCTCTGATGGAGGTGATTACATGCACACTTCCAGGCCTTTCTGTTGTGCTGTTTCTGTGTGTGTGTGTGAGAGAGAGAGAGAGAGAGCGCGCGCGCGCATGTGTGTGCGAGTGTGTGTGAGTGCATGCATGTGTGTGTGTGCCGTGCACATCACATGCCGGTTACCGCCCCTGGCTATCACTAACGCAGCCGTGAGGACATTCAGATGCTCGAGGCTCCTCACAGTGGACGAGGATGCGGGCCAGTTCCCACACCTCCACACGATGGCCCGCGGCCCATGGAACGCGCCGTCACCGGGGCCTGTGAAATGGAGCAGTTGTCGCTCCTGTGCGATCCTCCCTCCCCACCGCAGGTCTGAGAGCTGGCACCCGCCTTCAGCGGTTCTCAGAACACGGGCTGTGCTCCTCACAGGCGCAGGCACTCGTGGTCAGCAATGCTGCGGTAAGACCTGCACCGGAGCGGCCACAGCGGTGGCATGTCCACCAGGCGGGGCCTCCTGAAATGAACGGACACCACACGGTGGACACACCCAACAAGGAAGCAGGAGGGAGGGCCCCATAGAGGCCGCGGGCAGCGAGGGGATGGCAGTGTGTGACGGGGCCCAGCCCTCTGCTCCCCCTCCACAGCCAGGGCCCCTTCCAGATCTGAGTCCGCAGAGCAGACATCCTGTCTGGAAAAGGACATTTCTCAGAAGCTCGGCCGTGGCGATTCTCAAACACCTTTGAGTTCCCTTGGATCTTCCTGGGGTAGGAGGAACCCGGAATGAAAAATGAACCCGGCGATGGTTAGGATGGACATGGCGTGGATGCTTAAGGGAATGGGAGTCAGAAGCGTGTTTCTTCCTTCTGGTTCCATTTCAGTGAAATATTTGAGAGCTTGTTTTGGGAGAAGACATGAGAAAACGAGATAGTGATGTCCGGTAGCGCGTAGGGGAACCCAAAACCGGAAAAACGAAGAATGAAGCCCGGATTCTGGGCCAGCCTATTGGAGCCGCACCGGAGAGGAAGCGTCCTTCCGAGCAGCTCTTTGGTTCTGACAACGGAGGGAGAAAGGTTACCTGAACGCATAGTGCTTTGTAGTCAGTAATCTCAGTGTAAACGTGTATTCACGCTCAGTTTCAGTTTTGAAAAGAGACTCACTGTAGATATTTCAGCTCTGTCTGTAAAGTACGAAATTTGGAACTCACCAGAGATAACTTCAAAAATGTATATTCTCCGATTATCGTTTAGATGTCGGAGCAAGGCTCTGCCATTTTGTATCTGAAATTATAGACTATTTCCCAAGAACGGGCTTGGTCTCGTCTCCCGTCGTGTGTTTGGAGGGTAATTTTAGATCCTGTGTTTTCTGTCTCCCATTCTGCGCCCCGTCGCGAACATAAAGGGACAGCTGCTCGGCGGGCGTGTGCGTTCGAGACCGTCTGCCCGTGGCTGGGGCTGCCTCCAGGTGGGGGCCACCACCCCGTGATGTGTGAACGTGAGGCCGGGAGGAAGCCAGACACCGGGGTGGGGTGGTCGCAGCACCTCCATCCGGGGCGCTGGGGAGGCCGCCCCTGGAATCAGAGTCCCTGCTGCTGGCAGAGGCCGGGGCCTTCCCGGCTGCGGGTGTGAGTCCTGGAGGACCGGACCTGGCAGACACGGTGTGGCCAGGCCTCCTGTCGCCTGTTCCCGGCTCTGAAACCAGCCGCCCTGAGAACCGGGTGGTCCCCGCTCACCCAACTGGCCTGCTGAGAAGCATGTCCATCGTTAGCTCTGGGCCTGCCGCCTTAGCACAGCACAGGGATGGGAGGAGAGCACAGTGGGCATCCATGCAGCCTGCAGGCAGCTGCATGAGGAGCCGGGGGGAAGCCCCTCCTCTCTCCTGCTCCGGCCTCCTCAGAGAAAGGACAAACTCGGGCCCACGGAGCTGGGCTCAGTGACCCCAAGAGGGATTCGGTCCTACGGGGGGTCCTGTGCCTTTTTTTTAAAATAATATATTTCATTGATTTTTTACAGAGAGGAAGAGAGAGGGATAGAGAGTTAGAGAATCATTGTTCAGCTGCCTCTTGCACCACCCCTACTGGGGACGTGCCCGAAACCAAGGTACATGCCCTTGACCGGAATCCAACCTGGGACCCTTCAGTCCTCAGGCCGACGCTCTATCCACTGAGCCAAACCGGTTTTGGCTCCCATGCCCTTTTTTAATTATCAGCTTTGAATATGGGCATTCAAGGTCTTGTAGATACTGATTCTTTCTGTTTCATAGTCACTAGCTTACATTGCTCTCATTTCTTCCTCCCCTCTTACTTTCTCCCTCCCTCCACTCTGTCCTTTCCCTCCTCCTCCTCCCCGCCCCTCCCCTTCCTCTCCGGCCCTCTTCCTCCTCACCCCCCTTTTCAGTTGTTGGCTAAAGAGGGAACTTTATGGGTTAACCACGACCGGCAGTTGCAGCGTGAGAGTACGCATTGAAGATCCATTCTTGGTTTACACAGGATGGTTCACATGCTGCTTTTAAGAAACATCTACATCACGCATGTGTGCGTGCATGTGCGTGTGGTGTCCATGTGTGTCTCCAGAGCATCCTTTTATGCAAAACTCACACACGGAAGTCCATTGCTGGGCTCCAGATTCTTCCTGAGGCAGCCAGCTCACTGCAGCCTGTGAACGCCACGGGGCCCAGAAGGCCCTGCAGCCTCTTTGGGGTGTTACCTTGTGGAGCTGCGGCCTCTCCCAGAGCTGGGAGGGAGGGGGGAGATAGAGGGGAGGGAGGAGGGAAAGATGGGGAGGGAGGGAGGGGTTGGGGGGAGGGAAGAATGGGGGAGGGAGGGGGGAGGAAAGGGAAGGAGGGAGGTAGGGAGGGAGGAGGAAGGGGGAGAGAAGGAGGGAGGGGGAGGGAGGGGAGGGGGGAGGGAAGAAGGGGGAAGGGAGGGGGAGGAAGAAGGAGAGGGAGGGAGGGAGGGAGGGGGAACGGGAGGGGAAGGGGAAGGAGGGGAGGGTAGAAGGAAGGAGGAGGAGGAGAAGGGGGAGGGAAGGATGGGGGAGGGAGGGGAGAAGGGGGAGGAGGAGGAAGGATGGGGGAGGAGGGAGGGAGAGAGAGGGGGGAGGGAAGGATGGGGAGGAGGGAGGGAGGGAGAGGGGGGAGGGAAGGATGGGGGAGGAGGGAGGGAGGGAGAGGGGGGAGGGAAGGATGGGGGAGGAGGGAGGGAGGGAAGGGAGAGGGGAGGGAGGAAGGGTGGCGCACAGGCACTGGAGATACCCATTTCCTTTTCCCTTTGCGGATCTATTGCTTGTGGAACTGGGCTTGGGGTGTAAGGATCTGGAGATAAGCAGGGCGGAGAAAACGCCCTGCTTTAAAGCTGAGACGTAGCCGTTAGCGTGAGGCTGCTCCCAGGTACATACGTGCGCCGGCCCCGGTACCACTCCGTCTCACCGTGGTCTGCCCTCTGTCCACCACGCCCTCGCATGGCGCTGCCCGTGTCCCGCAGAGTGCAGCCAGCGCTTCTGTGGAAAAGGCCGCAGGGCGTGTTTGAGTTGGTTTTGATGAGAGGGAAGTAGAACTGCCATCCCTCCCGGCCTCGTGTCCACGCTCTGCTTCCGAGCAGTTCTGGTTGGAGAGTGCAGTCAGCGAGGCAGCACGTGGGGAGCGCCCCCCCGAGAGCCTGAAACCGGACTCTGGGCACCGCTCAGCCCAGACATCCGAGGGCCACCAGCTCCGGTGAGAAAAGTTCCGCCTGGGTTTGAGGTATTCTTATTTTTTAAAGTTGTATTTCAGCATTTTAGTGTCGCTTCTATCCTTTTTATTATTTAAAAAAAACAAAAAACATATTTTTATTGATTTTTCACAGAGAGGAAAGGAGAGGGATAGAGAGCTAGAAACGTCGATGAGAGAGAAACATTGTACAGCTGCCTCCTGCATACCTCCCACGGTTGGATGTACCCACAACCAAGGTACATGCCCCTGACCGGAATCGAACCTGGACCCTCCAGTCTGCAGACCAACGCTCTATCCACTGAGCCACACCAGTTTCGGTGTGCCACTTCGATCTTGAGCGGCATCCTTGTTACAAAAAGGAAAATCGTCCCCGGGGCAGACTCAGACACCCCGCCTTCTTCATCGCACATCCATCGCTCAGAGCGGCCAGGGCCCCGTTTTCCGCAGTGGGCCTCGCTGCCCGGACCTCCGTGGGTTTGAAGCGATGTCACCGCCACTTGTTAATGTGCCGTGTGACAGGATGAGCGCCAACACGGGAGCTTCCAGGAAGGGCTGTGTCAGAGTGTCCTGGATTTCCTGGGCCCATGAGCTAGGACAGGACACGAATCGCTTTCTGCTACTAAAATGGGTCCCAGTGTATTTCTTTCCTTAGAAAAGTGCTTCACAGGATGCTGTAAGACAAACATTATTTTTATTTATTTTTTTATTAAAAAATATTTTATTGATTTTTTACAGAGAAGGGAGAGTTGGAGAGATAGAGTTAGAAACATCGATGAGAGAGAATCATCAATCAGCTGCCTCTTGCACACCCCCCACTGGGGATGTGCCCACAACCTAGGTACATGCCCTTGACCGGAATTGAACCTGGGACCTTTTAGTCCGCAGGCCAACACTCTATCCACTGAGCCACATCGGTTTCGGCCAAAAGTTTATTTTGTTGCTAAATAAGCTACATCCCTATTAGATAGCATATCTAACTTCCTAACTCTGCAAATGTGGAGGCAATTAGAACAAACTTTTATTCCTTGGGCCCGCATAATACACAGCAGGAGAAAACCCATCTATGGTTTTAGGTAATGTTGATACTTTCTGTGCTGAAGATTGAGAAATTAATAAGACTGCTGAAACTTGATCATAAAGGAACCTGAAGGAGTTTGAGCAAAATGTCCCTGTTTCTTGCAAGAAACACTAGACTTGCCAGAAGTTAGTGACACTCTGCAGCCCCTGAAAACCGCCTGCCTCTGCTGAGAGTCTGAGACGGAGAGACCCCAGCTCCCAGCAGCACCAGCACCCCCTCCCCCGTTCCTCAGTCTTGGGGAACAGCGGCCAGTGCCCTGGCCTTCCAGCCAGCTCTGTCTGACATCTTCTACGTGTGTGATGGGCGGATCAGTTTCTCTCCCGCGGTTCCTCTGAGGACCGTTGACACATGAGTCTCCGAGGGGCTTCTCATCGTCAAGGTCAGGAGTGCCCCTGATCGAACTCCCAGTGGAGGGGACAGTTTGCATATTAGCCATTTGTTATGTAGGATTATGTGCAGTGAGGAGGGATTCTGAGAAATCAAATTATGTGGGCACTAACCAGTCACTGCTGGGACTGTCCTGGGTCTGTTTGATTATTGGGAGGTAAGTAACCCTCCCTGACCCTCCCTGTTGGGGATCAGGGCTGCCCCAGACCTCACTGTTGGCTGCTCGCCTTCTCCCCCGTCAGAGGTGGTCCCCATGGCTTCCGCCTGGGCCCCTCGGAGGACAGGCGGACGGTGGTGTGAGAGCTTCTGCGGGAACTGGTCGGGGTGTCGGGGCTGAGACTGAGGCCAGGCAGGTCCTCTTTATGAGATACCTCAGGAACTGCTCCCTGACCGTCCCAGGGTGAGAGGGAGCCACAGCGCTGAGGGGACCTCCTCCCCAGGCAGCGGTCACAGCTGTGGGCCAACCCACAGGGCCCTACCCAGCAGCCCGGGGAGTGACCAAGTCACCCAGCATGGCAGCCGGTCCAGCTGGGCCGTCACACCCCACACATACGGGGGAATCCCCCTGTGACCCTGCTTCCTGTGTGACACTGGCTTCCTGTGTGGCACTGGCTTCCTGTCTGACGTGGGCTTCCTGTGTGACACTGGCTTCCTGTGTGATGTGGGCTTCCTGTGTAACACGGGCTTCCTGTGTGACACTGGCTTCCTGTGTAATGTGGGCTTCCTGTCTGACGTGGGCTTCCTGTGTGACACTGGCTTCCTGTGTGACATGGGCTTCTTGTATAATGTGGGCTTTCTGTCTGACGTGGGCTTCCTGTGTGACACTGGCTTCCTGTGTGACACTGGCTTCCTGTGTAATGTGGGCTTCCTGTCTGACGTGGGCTTCCTGTGTGACACTGGCTTCCTGTGTGACATGGGCTTTCTGTGTGACATGGGCTTCTTGTATAATGTGGGCTTTCTGTCTGACGTGGGCTTC